TTTTCGTTCTTTTTTATAGTGGAGTCTCAAGGAAGAGGTGTTTCATTTTTCGCAAAGGACATCTCCCTCCCATTTCTTTTGTTCTTATGATAAATGATACATACATTTTTCTCTTCTTTAGAGGAGAGAAATTACTCTTCGAAAAAATATAAAAAATATTGTTCATAAGAAAACGTGCTTTATTTGAATAAAATTGAGATTAAATTGTTTAGTGACAATATCCCTGTGGTAATACAGATTCCCTAAAAGCTACCCATGATACTTACAACACATAATACAATAACACAAAATAAATATGTTAGAAAAAACATTTTTTAAATCCAAAATAAAATAAACTTAGACACGTGGAAATGTAAATAATGTAAATGTTGCTAAATTTAGAACTTACATTTGTGAATGCTGAAAAAATAAAATAAGAACGTTACTATACATGATGAGAAACTAATTTCTGTTTTAAAGATTCAAACGATTTAGCACTCATAAGTATTAATTTCAATAAATAAAACTTAATGCCTTTCCGGATATGATGGCATGCTCTTTCTTTGTTAGGAGAAAAAGCTGTCTGTAAAAAAAAACATGGCATATTAAATTAAGGTACAGCGGAATAAGAAATAAAATATCAAATCAGTTTTAAATAAATTAGTGATGGGAAATCGAAACTTGTTCAGATGCTTTTTAAGGTTTCCTTTAATTTAAATAATCAGTTATTTTACGTTTTGAATCTGTGCTGTCTCATTTCTCTCTCCGTTTTAAAGCCAGAATATAAATGAATTTTCGTACATTTAAGTAAGGGTTTGAGATTGCTAAGTTAAAGTGTATTTTGCCTCTTGAAGGCCACGTTACTAGGTTTTCGATTCTGAGATAAGAGTTACTGTCTTCAGCCTTGCATTTATACTTGCTGATAGTTTAATTTATGCTGGTAAATCCGAACAAAAGAATAATGAGTCTACAAACAAAAGAATAATGAGTCTATTACAATACGATATGAGGTTAAAATAATATACTTACGGTATTATTTTATCCCTTTCCTTTAATTAAGGTTTTGGTTTGCAGATATTAATGCTGTTATTGGCTAAAAGAGTTTCTGCGTTGTATGAATAGATGTGGCATGAGAATTATGTAAATTTCACATGAAAGAGATTATTTTTGATCTAATGCATTTAAAGATTTATTAAGGTATGCTACTCATTATAGGTAGAAAGGGAAAATAGACAAATTAAATCATTATTAGAATTACGGGATCATTACCAAATAAAGTTACAAATTTATTTTTCATATTATTAATATTATATACGCCCAAGTATGTCTGTAGATACATAACACTTGAATGTATAACAACAACTAAATATATGACTATATAAGAGCATACAGAAGGAACTGTTAAATCTAACGAAAAAAAAAGAATGATACCGTAACAAAAATCTAAAATTTTTTAGTCTTGAATATTACATGGTGCATTATTTAGGAGCTGAAAGCGGTAAAATGTAATAAATTCTAAGGTATTTTACCTTCGAGATTAATTGACTTTCTCTTTGGCATGTAAAAAAATTAATAACTGCTCCTTTAATATTAAGCTTTTTCTTTTTCTATATCCTTCTACTATACACATTAAAAGATTTGCATTATGTAAAAAGATTAAAATCTCTGTGTAAAACGTTTTTAAAATTTCGGAAACTTCGTTTAGTTACTCGCATTAATTTAAATGAATTATTAATATATGTTAGGTTTTATTGTGATGTAGGTATTATTTTAGGTTTCTAACGCTATTTCAATTCTGTAACCCTAACAGATGCGAAGCGAATTATCGCTGTGTCTGAGAACAGGAGGAGAATTCTGGAGATGTTTAAAATAATCTTTTTAATTAAACAGAATTTAGAACAAAAGTGCATGATCTTGTGTTAAAATGACCCAACTCGTGGCGATGCAAAATGAAAGGAATAATCCAGTTAAACGTTCATCATTTGTGAAGGACTGAACAATTAAATACTGTACTAGAAGCTAGCTGAATAAGCCTACAGGCATGTCAGAATTAAAGTGTTTGCAACGAAAGGCCGCAAAGCCGAATAATTACAGTCGTAATAGCAGGCATGAAACTATCCACGTAGCTATTATGCGATGCCAAAAGCACTCTCTGTCTAAAGCCCAAAAACCTCACTTTAAGAACTGACTACTAATTTGCATTCTGATGATGGAGAGAGAAAGAAGTTATCATAATGACTGAAATTAAAATTAATAGTTAATTAAGATTCCCTACAATGTTATTTATGGATGCATGTACTATAATAAAAGCATGCATTTCTTGCAGTATCAATAATTTATGCAAAAACGTGACCTTCTTAATTTTTCTCTAAAGTAGTGTTATCAGCCGATAGATGGCATTGTAGAAAAGCCGCTGATAGGGGGCGCACGATATCAATCGAGAATCGGAAAGCGAGAGAATGTGATTAAGGTTAAAAATGTTCCGTAATGATTTGTATATATGTATATATTTAATGTAATAGTAAAACATTTATAAAATGTAAGAGTTATCCCGATTGAATTCGAAGTGAAAGCCCAACTTACCCCTAGGCGTCCTGAGATTAATAACGGAGATTAAAGTTAACAGTGGTTATTATGCTTAATAAAATATATTGTCTTTTGTTTTAAAATTTTATGCTCTATAACCATGTAAAAAATGTAAAGAGCACTTATTCCTTGCTAGTTTTGTTTTACTTGTTTATATGCAAGAGTAAAAAATTGTAAAGTGAATCATATACTTTTTCTTTGTGCTTGCAGAACTGTTTTTTGATTGGTAAAAACTTTCTTCTTTGATCGAATAAATTTTTATTTTGTTTATATTATTGCTCTTTTAACAAATTTTTCTTTCGAATACTCTCAATATTTTACATATCAACCTGAGCAATGCTAATCTGCATGTAGTTAGTGGGATTAAAATTCACTCTACAGATGCGGTATGCTCTAGGTTAATTAAAGGGAAAAAAGAATGGGAAAGTTTTAAATATGTAAAAAAGTAATAATAATAGTAATCATACAATATTTTAAGATGATGAAATAACGCATAATCTTTTTAATTTAAGATTTCGCTTCTAAATTTGAAAATTATCTTTGATGCACAATTTACCATTTCTGATTTTATTTTTATGTTTTCCACTGAACATATATATTCCAAATTTTGTACTGATTAAAAACTTCAATCAATACTTTAACGTTTTTATACTTGATAAAATGCTATGTATTAGAAAACGTTTTAATTCACAGTTTTCAGTAATACTTGGCTCTTTTTGCATGCAGTGAGCTATAGAAAAAATAATTTCTTGATTTATTTGTTTCTTGATTTATTCTTACTTTATTTCCTTCAGACTAATTGTTTGTAATCTCTTTATAAACTACTTCCTGTCACGTTTTGCTGAGAATGTGACCAAATCAGAGCCAATGGTATAATAGTAAAATGCTTATTTTAAACAGGGATTTTTTTATAAATTGAATTTTCTCTCTTCAACGATCATTTGCGTAGTGTTACCATTAGAAATGATGGAAATTTTCAGTGGTGTTTTAATTGAAATTCCATTATTTATACCTTTCATTCAAAATACTAGTTCTTTTCTAAAAATTAATGAAACATTTGGAATTTAAACATTAAATTCTGCCATAAGGTCCATCAGCGACCGCGCGGTAAAAGGCGCCGAACACTGTTAGCTCGGTCCGATCTTCCAGCACCGAAATGAGAGGGTTACCAGACCGAACAGACAGGCTGCATGAAAGGTTTCATGGTTTTCCCCATGTGTAATGTGGATACGAGTCAGTTACCCTAAAAAAGGTCCTCTTTTGGGTATCTGTCCCTTATTGTGTAGTGCTTAACAATGTAGCATGTTATAAATAAAAAAAAAGTAAAATATACTAGCATACTAGAAACCATCGAAGAGGTTGTTTTCTACGGATTAACATACTTCATACGTATATTAATTTGAAAATGTTATTCGAAGGATACTATATATATACCATATAGTATATTATGCTGTTAAAAAAAATCTTTACGATAGAAAGCTGCGGTTTGAGACATTATGTTCACAAGGTTTTAGTAGCCATGTAACAGAGTTCGATATGTGCGCCATCTCCAGCAAGTAGGCTATCCAAGCGATATCTCAGTCCCGTTCAAGCTCGGCTAAGCATGTCTTCCGTAATGTGTTTAAGTGCTTTGCGGGTGCAGGCACCGCGTTGACGTCTTGTATGCCACCACATGCTTCGCAAAGTACTAAAGAAAAAAAAAACATTCTAGTGCTGTTGCATCTAGAGACTCACGGGTGCAGGTAATCGGCCCTCATTGCACAATCAATCGACCTTGAAATGCTTCATTCCAAAGCCCTGCTAATGATCTCATTCCAGTGATTAAAGGTATGGACTTGCTGCAGGAGGATATTAGGTTGCAGGTGTTTGACCTGTGAAAATGCAAACTGTCTCAATATATCGAGATAAACAGTCACACTGACTGATGCTTCTGCAAATAAAAACGTTCCATGGCACGGTCATAAAGTAAATCACGCTATACCTTTGGACTCTTGAGTACAATTTCCCAGTTTACGTGAGGGCTCTCCGAGCCCCATATCCATACATTGTGTAGGTTTTCCATCCCGAACATATGAAAGCATACTTTGTCTGAGAATATTACCTTTGTCAGAAAGTCTAATCTCTATCGATACGATTCAGAATCTCAATTGCAAAATGCTTTGCGTTTTGGCCTATCATCAGGTTGAAGTGCATGCAGCTGCAACTTGTACGCATGCAGCTTAAGTGGCTTGTCTAGCACCCTGTGTACCATGACTGTTGGTATCTGTAGCTTAGCTGTCGAGATGCTTGACGGATCGATTTGGTTGGTCTCCGGATAAATGCCTGTTGCACCCTTTCCACATCTGCTTGACTCGTACTCAGACGCCCAGAATTCGTCCACTTTATGACGCTTCCGCTTTCCTTCAACCTTGTGTTCCATTATCGGATGGTCGAACATGAATGCGTCTGTATCACATCTGGAAGTTGCGCTGTATCTGGGTGGCAGATTTGGTATCTATCCACCATTCCGCCCATCGTGCCATCTCTTGGAAGGTGGCCATTTTCGTCACTGCCTCATGAAAAAGAAAAGAAAAGAAGATATTAGTTAGAAGTGTTAATATAGATAAAACTTTAGGTGTGTGCGAACATTATAATACAAACTGCACCTTTCCATCTAGTCCCATTTCTGACTTCAAATCAAATTTGGAAAGATCATTTTGTAACATCCTGTACCGTACCATACCCCTCCATAATAATTCCATCCTATCATACCATACCATATCGTACAGTATCATACTACTATATTGCAAGATGTTTCGTCCAAGCAATATTTCATGGATGAGAAGTAATAGATTATCGTAGAAAATGGAAATGCTTGTTTAATCTTCAGTATTACTAGTTTTTGCGATGCTCACTTCCGTTAAAATTGTTTCTTTTACTTTGCATTTCATGCGAAGCAAGACGTCTTAGGGGCTTCAAGTATTCATATAAAATCCCAAACCCATTTCCACTCAATATTTTTTTTTATCTTTAAGAAGAGTGGGGAATTTTATTTTCAATCTCACGGTTCATTTCTTTCTTCCAGAATCGGAGCAGGGCCCGCACGAGAAACGACTACTCAATAAGCTTCTCAATGATTACAACGTTCTCGAACGACCCGTTGCCAACGAATCAGAACCCCTCCTGCTTAGCTTTGGCCTCACCCTTCAACAAATCATAGACGTGGTAAGTTTTCACACTTTGATACATAACATATATTTCAATTTATGTGAGATAAATCTCAGTTGCAATAACAAAACGAACTTGTATCTCTGAGTAATCAATGGTATTATGTTCATCCATTTCTCATATTATATTTCTGGTTGTTATTACCATCAACTAAAAAAGAATTATCTTTTCAAAATGTTTCGAAATTTTATTCGGGTGAAAGGCTGATAAAGAAAACATTAAAGTGATTATACATCAAAAATCGAAAAAGTAAACCAGAAACACATTGCCATTACATTTAAATTCAGACTAGTATTTTTTTCAACTCCAATTAGCTTTAATCAAATTGCCTATATTTATTTCTTCTACTTTATTTTCGATACACAAATGAAATTTTACTTATATGGTTATAAATTTTGATAAAATCTTAGATTATTGAATATGCATAAGACATTCTAAAATGGATTTCTAATTCGCTTTATAGCTGTATTTTTATGTAAAAATAAAGATGTGTAATAAAAGAGCAGAATGTCCATTTCGATCAAATTACAAAAATAATTATATTTTGAAATAAAAGTTTAAACTAATAACTACATCGTACAATAGCTGAAAAAAAGTTCTTTTCGGTGTTTGGTTTTCCTTATATTCCTTGGGAAAACAAGAATATAGTTAAAACAGCCACATTTAAATAGTAAATTTTGCGTTATTTCTCCGTCCTAAATGATTGTCGAACTAAAACTCAACCACCAAATATAATCATTAAATTAAAATAACTGTTTAATTAATATTTAAGATCAAAATTCGAAGCTCATGAAAGGCAATATTTCTTAAACTGTAATGTTATATAAATAATCAGCATATAATCATAAACTGTATTCATTAATATATGATACGGAAATATGTTTAAATGTTAAAAATACTAAGTAAAATCAGAGAATACAAAAAAATAATTGAGTTATCCTTTACTTATGCAAATTTTAAAAATAATTCACCTTAACATTACCTCCGTTTATTTTATTTTTATATTATACTAATGTAAATTTTCTATACTTAATTTGGCAAAAATTTGCATCGAGCAGTTTTATTTTGCTCTTAAAAAAAAGCGTAAATTCAACCTTCTTGATTTCAAAGGAAGCTTCATTGCCTTCATGAGAGACACGTCAGAAGCTTTCTTAATTAGAAGTTCCCACTAATGGTCCGACGTTAAATTCGCTGAACACTGGTAGTTCGATCTGGACTCGATTGGAGAGGAACAAGCTGGTTGCACAGCTTTGTCGTGGTTTCATGTGTACGGACCTTTTTTCCTCAAGTTCTCCACGAAGGCAACTCTTAGTCAGATAGCCTTCTATTGCTTTACTATAATCTGTTATATATATATATATAAGAAATAAAATATGAAAGAAAGCTAGTAATTTTAATCTAGAAGCAGTTGTTTTAACTTTTCATTTTAATTTCGCTAAGTCCCCTTCCTCTCTTAAAAACTATTAATATATAAATCTTAAATACGTCATCTTTAAACTAATTCACATTATGTCATCTTATTAACCCCGTCATACAGTCAATTCTTGTCGAATCACAGTTCAAAATTTAACCAAAGAAATCAACTCTGTAAATATCCTTTTGCTGAAATTATGTGTCGAATTCATACGTCTGCAAGTTTTTCTTCTCCATCATGTCACCTCATGTATCCGATGATGCTCTGTTATTCTCTACATGCAATAATGAATCATGGTACCTACAGAATTAATTACATATATACATATACATAGTTTTACTCAGAAGCAAGTTCTTTTGAACCTCAGCATGCTCTCAATTTATTTAAATAAATATAATAATACTGATATTTAAATCTACTAAGAAAATGCAGGAAAATGAAGCTGAAACAGGTTTAAAAGTTTAAGAGTACTCTCTCAAAGAGTGAAGAAGGCGTTAAATGCATTCATTAACTAAAATTAAAATTTTGAATTAAAATATGGAAAGCTTTTACATAAGTCTAATTTAAACCTGTTCCCCCGAGACAGAGAGAGTGATAATGAATAAAAATTAAATCATTGGTTAAAAGACCGACAAAAAGCAACAGAAATTTTCTTGAAATGATATTATTTTCCGAATAAATGCTTGCATCATTTATGTATAATATAAAATATAAGGAAACAAATAATACTTTTTTATTCTTCGGAAACACATGAAATGATATATATGAGCAAATTTTAATTACTTAAATGCATTTATTCATACAAAGATTTTGTAGGCTTTACCGCTTTTCATAATATCATGTAATGGGAAGTTTTGTAGCTCTTAAAGCAACCAACAAATTGCTTCCCATTATATGAAAGAATAGAATAGTAAAATAAGTATTAATCAAATAGTCAGCAACAGTAACTAAAAGAACAGATTGATCAACGAGCATACTAAGAAAAGTATATAAAACATAAAACCCTTTTGAGTAATTTTAAATTTAAAACTTTTCAGATTTAATACATTTCGTTTATTTATTTTTAATTGCGCTATTTGTTCTCAAAAATATTTATCATAAATTACATTATTGTATTGGAAAAATGAACTGATATAAAATACATATTCGAATAAAACAATTAGATACTTGAATTAATTAAATAAGGTATACTTAACGGTATTGCTCATTTATCTTCAAATAATTGTTTATTTTGAAATTAAGTAATTCTTAACAGCTACATATTAAAATGGAAAAATCAGCAGTTTCGGATACATATTCAAAGATTTCTCCAGAACTGAAACGTATGTTCTTCATTCATTTTAAGATCGTCGAAACAAAGAAAAGGTGATTACAATTCGTATGCTTAATTTAGTGTTTCTTCAAGACATTTTCAATTGATATTGCAAGAGGATAACAAGTTCGTTTGGTTATTAAATTAGATTTGTTTTTCTTTTACTGAATATTGGTAGAAATTAAAAATGTGGAACCTATTTATCTACACAGTAGTGTTGTTTGTATAAATAAAATTCTGTTTTTTACAAAAATGCATTCAGGAAAAATAACATGTTGCTCTTTGAAAATATTATTTACCTTATGTCTTAAAATTCTTTTATCGATTCATATTTTTATTACTCAACAAACAAAGAATTATTTGTATGAGTTTACACATTTTATAATTTTTAATATTTTTCTTAAAAATGTGTTATTGATTTTGAGGATTTTCTATGTCCTAAAGCATAGCAATTTGATGAGCTAAAATTCCTATTTTAAAAAACAATTGCATTTAAGTAAAATGAATAACTAATTCACAAATTGTTATGCCTGTTTTCAATTATAACCATTCCCATACTGCTTCAGTGTTAGAAAATATTACTTTATTTTCATACGAATTTTATTTAATATAACTAAATATTAATTATGTTTCATTCGTATGTGTGTATTTCTTTTATAAATGTTGTACTCTATGTAATTAATAAGTTTATCAGAAGCATATTTTAAAAATGTGTTTAATATAACACAACATTAATATTTTATTACTTTATTTACATTTAAAATTATTTTTGTCATATCGAGAAAAGCACCCACAAGTGTTTTTTTAGTTTTATGCAATGGATTAAAGTTGTGAATGACCTTTCAAATTGATTCCAGTTGCTACATATCATTGAATCGTAGTGCCGACGTAAACTGTACTCATAAGCCTTATAATTATGCAATTATATTATAAGTTTATTTAGAATTATATTATAAGTTTATTAGAACTAAGAATAAGCGCTACGTTAAGATTTAGCATACACTTTTTCTTAACAGAAACATTTTGTACTGCATGTTACAGTTTCTTACTGCCATTTTCTGTTGTGTTTCACAATTTTAAAATATTTGTAGCATCGATGAAAAAGTACTGAAAAAACATTAAAATCTAAGTAATATGCATACCGAAAGCGGGAAGAAATTTTATATGCTACAAGCAAGAATCTGAAAATTATATTATTTTAGAAATAAAATTTTATAAAATAAAAATTTATAAAATTATATTTTATTTATATTATACACAAAATATGCATTTGACATTGAAATTCAACTTCACACACACACAAATATATAAATAATATATAAATGTAAATATAGCATAAAAATATTACGCTTAGTTTTATCTAGTTATTATTATTCTAGTTTTATTGTATATTTCACATTAAGAATACAATTTAGTTTCTGTACACTGTGCAGGCAATTTCTTATCAAAATGTAACTTGATAAAGCTTTTCACGATATTAAATTTACTATCATCTGTTCTAAATTAAAGAATCATATTAAAAACAACATTTAATATTAAAATATTTTCTTTATTTCAGATCACAATCGTGATTAGTTTTAACAGACAATTTGTACACAGATTTAGTGTTAATGAAAAATTTATTAGTCATCAATAGTTAGTGGCTAACTTTAGAACAAAATTGATAATAAGATTAGTGTTATTAATAAGCTACTTCAGCTAGACCATAGGTAGAAATAAGTAGGTAATATACAATAAGTAGAACATAGAGACAATTTACCCCATAAAATAGCTGCATATTTTATTTAGAATATTTAATTGACTATAAAATAAATACTTAACTATATTAGGTAATTTATTCAATGATTTGTTCAAATATTTTTACTTAATATATGCTATAACGCACGAATATCCTAAATTTATTCAACATTGCAAAGTTTATGTAAAAAAATTAGCAGTCATAAATTATTTTCCTTATTATTTCTAACGAATGCAATATTCCGGCATACAGTTTTAAATTAATATGCATATAATTATTTAATAAAGGATTATATAAATTGAGTATAGAAAGATGCAAAGAAAAGTGTGAAACACGTCAGACGCTGCTTGAAAAAAAAACATATTTTACTGGTATGTTTGGAAAACTGCTTTCCAAATAGCATTTAATAATATTTTATTCACAAATTTATTCGCTTAAGATTCCACGTTTCGAAATATTTTATCTTCAATAATTTCAGTTAGTTAATGAGATTAACTATTAAAATTTAAATATATTTCCAAATATGTTTTTTT